CTCCACCTCAGTAACAACAATGAACATCATGCTGCTGTTGCATTTACAGCGCTGACGTTTCTCTGAAATAACTGAGAGAATATATTTATTTAATTATTAAATATTAATTATTATTATTAATATATAAAATAATAATTATTAAATTATAAATTAAATTTATTAAATTATTAAATTATTAATTATTAAAGGATGGAAAAGAAAGAAATCTACCAACAGAGTAAATATGTGGCTAGAGTGATTCAAAAAAAGGAAAAGAAATAGACCAATTAGAATTATTAAAAAAAAAAAAAAAACGGGAAAAAAGAAAGAGACCCACTAATATGGTATATATGTGGCTAGAATGATTAAAAACAGGAATCCATCAACGAAGTATATACATGTGGTTAGAGTGATAAAAAAGGAAAAGAAAAAGACCCATCAACAGAGTATGTATGTGGCTAGAGTGATTCAAAAAAGAGAAAAAAAAGGAACCCACCAACAGAGTATATATGTGGCTGGAATTATTAAAACCAGGAAAACAAAGTAACCATCAACGAAGTATATATATATGTGGCTAGAATGATTTAAAAAAAAAGGAAAAGAAGGCCCACCAACAGAGTATATATGTGGCTAGAGTGATTAAAAAAAGAGAAAAAAAGAGACCCACCAACAGACTATATATATGTGGCTAGAGTGATTAAAAACAGGAAAAAAAGAAACCCGGCTTTTTATCTATCTATTATTACTACTTTTGTTATTGTCATTATCATCATTTTAAGGGGGGTGTCTTCAATAGATAGCAAGGTGTTCGTGTGTATTTGTGTTTAAAGGTATTAATAGCCTTAATTGTTTTATGTAAATCATTAGTCCTGGTAGTATATGTGGCTAGAATTATTTAAAAAAATTGAGAGGAAAGAGACCCACCAACATAGTATATATGAGGCAAGAATTATTAAAAAAAGGAACAGAAGGAAATCCACCAACAGACTATATATATGTGGCTAGAATGATAAAAAAGGAAAAGAAAGATATCCACCAAGAAATATTGCATGTGGCTAGAATTATTTAAAAAGGAAAAGAAAAAGACCCATCAACAGTGTTTGTATGTGGCTAGAATTATTTAAAAACAGGAAAAGAAACGCTAACAGAATTAAAAAAAAGAAAAGAAAGAAATCCATAATAACTAAAATGATTCAAAAAAAAAAGAAAAGACCGCCACAATATATAGTAGAATTAAAAAAAAAGGAAAAAGAAAGAGATCCACCAACATATATGTGGCTACCCAACATAGATGATTAAAAAAAGAAAAGGACTAAGAATGATAACAAAGAGAATGAGAAAAAAAACCAAAAGGACCACCAACATATATGTGGCTAGAATTATTTTAAAAAAAGGAAAAGAAAGAAACCCCCACACATATGGCTAGAATGATTCAAAAAAGAGAAAAGAACCAACATATATACTAGACTCCATGTGGCTTAGAATGATTCAAAAAGTATCCACCAACATATATGTGGCTACAAAAAAAAAAAAGAAAGAGATCCACCAACATATATGTAGAATGTCCAAAGAAAAAGAAAACCCCAACATATATATGTGGCAGAATCCATTCAAACATATGTGCGCTAGAATGATTCAAAAGGAAAGAAAAAGACCCCAACATAGAAAAAAGAAAAGATAGAAGAAACCCAACAACATATGCGTCTAGAATGATTCAAAAGAGAAAAGAAAGAAATCCACAACATATATGCGTCTAGAATGATTCAAAAAGAAAAAAGAAAGAAACCCACCCACACGTCCCCCTGCCATGACCTTGCATGATGTAATCCGACCAAGTGGTTGTCTCATCCTGACTTTATCCACATGGCAGTCACGCTCGAACAGATGTCCTCGACTTCGCACGGCAAATATTGTTGTGTGAATGTACGTGTTCCATGTGTTGGGGTGATGTGTGTTTGTGTGTGTGTGTTTGTGTGTGTGTTTGTGTGTGTGTGTGTTTGTTGTGTGTGTGTGTTGTGTGTGTGTGTGTGTGTTGTGTGTGTTGTGTGTGTGTGTGTGTGTGTGTGTGTGTGTGTGGTGTGTGTGTTGTGTGTGTGTGTGTGTGTAATTGTTTGTGTGTACATAGGTTTTGTGCATGTGAAAGTTTTGTTTGTCCGTCTCAGTCTGTTTGTGTTTTATGCATATATATTTAAGTCGTTTCTGAATGCATGCACGGACTTGAAACACCTGATATATGCAAACGCACAATCTTGTCTATATAGCGAGCGTGTATTACTTACAGTATGCACTGTCATGCGCAACCGTAGTGAGACATTATGGTTTCGGCTTCATGTAACACAGGATAAACTCCCGCCTACGCCAATGACGTATTTCTCCTTGCAATCAGATAACCAAAAATTTAGATGGTTTATGGCAGTCCTTACCGTTTCCAAAGTGACTCGGAGAAAAACTAGCATGGACTTTTTGAAGGCCCCTTTTGCTTTTTGCTTCCATACAAATCCCACGTTCCATTAAATTATTTTAATTTCCCCTTGAGATCTAGCTTTCTTTGCTATTATCAATACAAGCCAAAATGGGCCGTATCCTACTTCATAATATGCATTGCTGTTAAATTGATCTTTGGAACTTTAATCCGGGAGGCAGCCATAACAGGAGTCGAACGCTCATGGGAAGTGGTCTTCGAGAGAGAAGGATTCGCTTAAAAGCATTTGCACATATGATGTAAAAGAATGATGTAAATGATGTAAAAAAAGATGTAAAGGAATCCTGTGCGTATCCCCTCGATTTCTGTAGTAATCCCCCTTCCTTACATTGAATCAATAGTTCATCTTTACCACCCTCCATTGAGGATTTTTTTTCTGGAATCGCCCATGTAAAGCGTCAATTCCGATGACCTGTACGTCATTCTCTCGCATAAATACCCACAGTTTCTCTTGTATGAACTAATGACATGATATATTCAGTGATTAAGCCTAATGCTCGGCTTCTGTTAGCCGCTTTCCAACTGGGACGCTAAAAGCCATGTACAATATTGATATGAATATTTGCATTTATCCTTGCCATGTTTTGTACGTTGCCCGTTCGTTTTTTGCATAGATTTCGATCTTGCGCAATCTTCTACCGGCCATTCAGTTCACATAAACGTTCCTGAAAACAGAGGGTAAATAAAACTAGAACTCTAATTCGCCAAATCATAGGAATCACAGGCGATCTGAGGATAATGCATGGATAGAGGTAGAAAATGCGAACACATCGTTACACCGTCTATCCGCCCACCCGTACTCATGCCTGTGATCCAAGATTCGTGCTGATAGCCGGAGATAAGAAGACGCCCCCTGTAAAGATAAGCTAATTCGGAAGGGAAAAAATCACAACCACAACTAGCCTTGTTAATTCCCCTTCGCGCCTGTATATCCCACTTCCTTTTATAGTTATAACCATTAAGAAAACGTGATGACGTAAGCAGCGTCCAGTATGTACCTCCTCGGCTCACATTAATAAGCGGTGACCCCGCCCTCGCCCACGCTGCAGCTCCTCCAGCCAGGGAAGCGTCCGTAGAGGAGGGTCAGTTGGCAGCCTTTGTTCCTTTTGTTTTGAGTCAGTCGATAAGCGTCCCTTTGCTTGGTTTCTCTTCCTTTTACCCATCTGTTTAGAGTCTTTGTTGGCATCTTTGTTTCTCGAATCACAGGGGGGAGTTTTAGCCCCTTTCTGGGAGGATACTCAGAGCTTGGGGCAAAAAGGTGGGACTTTGGGCTTCGCCGTTATCCAACGGGTCCTCATCGGCAGTCATTTCTCTGAGGAGATCTGAGGAATTCTTGACACAGAAAACATTATTTGTTTCATTGTTTAGACGTAAGACTAAAAATCACTAATCTAAAGAGACCAACACCTAATGAAAACACAGCGTATAGAGTTGTGGTTTTGCACAGGATATTTGTAGTTATTCTTACGTCTAAGTGAATCTAAATTATCAGTAGCTATTAACGGTGATACGAATCGTGTAAGAAATAAGATAAACGAAGTAAAACCAGCTTTAATGGCGTCTAACGTCTTCTGTGAAAAACCATTAACACTGAATTAATGATGCGACGGATGGCAGCGAATGATAAGTGGTTAGGAGTCTTCACAAACATTTTCACAGTTTGGCGTGCAATGTTGCGAAAATTATCCAAATTCACGTAAAGTGCAAAGAAAACAACGGTAAATCTGTCAGTAAATACGAGTCATTGAGTTTCCTCGATATTGCAAGTTGGATCTTTGGAAATATCCAAAACGCTGATAGCAAGGGAATGAGGATAGTGGATGATGGAGTTAGCAAGAAGGTAAATGGCGCTGCTTTGTTTGGTAAAGGGAAAGTTTTATAGTGTCACCATTCCAAGGATATGGGATATGGATATTTTTTTGAGATGAGATATGTGATATAGACACTTTTACACTAACGTTCTGTACGCTTTTACAGAAGTTTGATATAGACGATTTTACAGAAAAGTGATACAGACATTTTTACAGTGATATAGACGTTTTTACAGTGATATAGACGTTTTTACATTTTTTACAGAAATGTGCTATAGACACTTTTACACATTTCCCTAGTTTATTACAAAGCTGGCAGCATTCTCTCAAAAAATTACTTTACTACTTCGTTTTGCATTTTAACACCTTTTCCGTCCTCCTCGCCAGATGCCGCGTCCCAGCACGTCCTTAGACTCTCCTCTCCCTCCTACAGGATCCCTCTGGCCGAAGCCCTTCCTCCTCCCTCTTGTGTATTACCGCGTCTTCCCTGACAGAGCCTCGCCCACACGCACACACGGGCGGGTCTCTGTAAACCGGAGGGTGGGCGGCCAGGCAGCCACTGCCGATGATGGACACTTCTTGCTTCTCCTTGGTTGATCTTTATCTGTATTGCGTGTCTCCTGTGCGTCACCCTTGGTTTTCTTCGTGGCATTCCACTCCGCGGACGTGGGAAGACCTGCGTCCCCTTCTTGGTCTGAGGTGAAAAGGACTTCGGAGGCCTGTGTAGGATGACAACCGAGGAACCAGGTGTTGGTCCGGGCGACGTCTGGCACGGCGTGGGTGTTAATATGCCCGGTTTATTAATAATGGCGGTGGCAACCCTCATTTTACCTCATAACTCCTCATTCTTTATTTTCACAGTAAATACCCGTGTAAAGTTTACATCGGTCATGTTCCTTGTGGATAGAGATGCAGACGTATTGTTGGTGATGCAAAGAGATGGCTTGGAAATAATCATGAAGTGGAAGGATGGATAAGAGGAGAAGAGAGAGAGAGAGAGAGAGAGAGAGAGAGAGAGAGAGAGAGAGGAGAGAGAGAGAGGAGAGAGAGAGAGAGAGAGAGAGAGAGAGAGAGAGAGAGAGAGAGAGAGAGAGAGAGAGAGAGAGAGAGAGAGAGAGAGAGAGGAGGAGAGAGAGAGAGAAATAGATAGATAGATAGAGAGAGAGACAGAAAGAGAGAGAGAGAGCCAGAAGAAAAAGCCGACGGAAAGAAAAACAAAAGATATAGAGACAAATATAACTGTTTAGAAGAGGGGCGTGGTGCACCAAAGAGAACAAGGGGGGTTTAAAGAGCAGGTTATCGAAAATTCACAAGCGACAAGATACAAATTTCTACACGACAACAAGAATACAACCCTACAATTTTTGTTTCCAAGGCTATGAATACTGAACTAGTTACGTTTATAGGATGGACTAGTTATAATTTTTTTCTCAAAATATTGAGACGTGACCAGCAATTGCCCATAATTACGTATTGAGGAGAGTAACTATCATAGGGACCTAATACATGGTAATGACTTAGGTAAATTATACTCTAAGTTAGCAAATATTATGGAAATTTGTAGAAAATATATAATACTACTACTACTGTTACTACTTAATTATGAACAATAACCAAGGCAGTGCTGATGATTGATATTACTCTTATCATTAGCATTAATGATAATGATAATGATGATAATAATACAATACAATTATAATAATAATGATAATGATGATAACAATTATAATAATGATAATGTTATTATCAATGTGTGATGCGATTATCATTATTATTGTTATTACTATTATCATTACTAGTATTATCATTATCATTATTGTCATTATTACATTATATTATTATACCATTATCATTATTATTATCATTATTATCGTTATCATCCCCATCATCATTATACCATCGTTATTATCATTGTTATTATCAATGATATTCTTATTATTACTAATATCATCATCATCATTACCCATCATCATCATCATATCATCATCATCATCATCATCTTGCCATCATCATCATCATCATCATCATTACCATCATCATCATTATCGTCATCATCATATCCTCACCCGTTTAAATTTGGCGCCAATTTAGTTTAAAAAAAAATCGCGCCAGTCCCGTCACAATAACAGAAAAGGTAACTTCACCAGGTATGGTCCTTAATTAACAGATAATGAAAGGCCACCCCCGCCTCCCTTAGCTGGAAAAAAGTGTGACGAAAGAAGAAAAAGAGAGAAAAAAAAACAATTTTCATAAGGACACGGGCAACACCAACTTCATCCTACGCGCCACACTCCTTACAACTCCTTCTTCACTCTTACGATGGCGGCGAGGAAGGAGCCATAGCATTACACAGCAAAACACACACTCGTTCCTATGCGTAGAGTCGATACCTCGCAACCACGGGAGAGAGGGAGGGAGGGAGGGAGGGAGGAGAGGAGAGGAGAGAGAGAGAGAGAGAGAGAGAGAGAGAGAGAGAGAGAGAGAGAGAGAGAGAGAGAGAGAGAGAGAGAGAGAGAGAGAGAGAGAGAGAGAGAGAGAGAGAGAGAGAGAGGAGAGAGAGAGAGAGGAGAGAGAGAGAGAGAGAGGAGAGAGAGGAGAAGAGAGAGAGAGAGAGAGAGAGAGAGAGAGAGAGAGAGAGAGAGAGAGAGAGAGAGAGAGAGAGAGAGAGAGAGAGAGAGAGAGAGGAGAGAGAGAGAGAGAGAGAAGAGAGAGAGAAGAGAGAGAGAGAGAGAGAGAGAGAGAGAGAGAGAGAGAGAGAGAGAGAGAGAGAGAGAGAGAGAGAGAGAGAGAGAGAGAGAGAGAGAGAGAGAGAGAGAGAGAGAGAGAGAGAGTAAAGAGAGAGAGAGAGAGAGGAGAGTGAAGAGAAAAAGAGAGGCACAGCCTGTGAATCTCCCGATATCGATGTATTTACTTTACATTAATGGTATATTTCATTATGCTACGTTACCCGAAAAGCATATCTATTTTGCTGAAAGAGATACTAGCCAATGTTTCCTGCAGCGAAGTCCGTCTGTGAATCAACGTGTGATGCAATGCCTGGCAGGACGTGATATATTTAGAATTCCTCGGAGTTTGAGAAATTCTTGTCTTGGTTTTGAAAATCTTTGTTAAGAATCACGGTGACGAGTATGTTTTATCAATAAGAAAAAATCAAAACGTTTTAATGTTGTAGAAGCGAATGCGAGAACATCTTAAGTGTAAACGAACGAATCTAACGGAGTTTTAATTTGAACGTGATTACGCATTTAAGTTCCCTCCCCGCAGCTAACTTTCTCTCCCATGTCGTCGATACCTGGTGTTTCTTTACAGTCTCAATTCATAAAACCTGTAAAAAATATCCTTACTCGTAAAACTAATCTCTTCATCCTTTTATTATCACTCTGATCCCTCCGCCAAAAAAAAACAAACGAACGTAACTAAGCGTCACTAATGAGCGGTTGGTATGTAGGCCGACTCGAGTGGAGGTGGTGCGGCCAGCTGATTCACTCGCCGCTGACCGCATGGCCCGAGTCACGCTGTCTGGTTTACTGCGGTCGCTTTCGCACTCCTAATATTCTTCAGTCTAATTTTAAGACAAATATGAAAAGCTAAACCTGTTTTTTGATAAAGTTTTACGATATGAATAGAAAAGCATTATATAACTGACTGGTACATATATAACGTGTCATTAAAAGGGTTAACATTTAATCGTTTTTTGTTGTTGTTAAAAGAAATAGTTACAGTTACCCAAAATACATCCAAATCTTGCGTGTATCACAGCTTGACTAGCTGTTCGACACTTATCGACTCGCTGTCTCTCTGTATACACGCATTATTGCCACAACTCTATACCTTTATAAATCATAAAACACCTCGATATTCCTATGGTCTTTTTATTTGCATTATGGTCTTCTACAAATTCAATGAAAGAACCAGCAAAGGAGCAGTGATGGATTTTTTTCTTCTGAAAGGGACCACAAAATATTCGAATAGAGAACCGCACGTATCAATTGATTATTTACCTGACCTTTAGCTCACTTGGCGTCTCTCGCTCGGCCAGAGAAAATATACAACTCGGGTGTGGTCTCTTTCTTAACCCTTTCCATTTCTACATATGCTCTTTCATACACTAAAACCTCTCCTCTTAAGACCATATCACACACTACTGACCGCTTACTTAATGGATCCAAAGCAAGTAATACGTAAAATTTTCAATTATTAAGTTCACTCTCTTACGAAATAAATAAATATTAATTGCTCTTCAAGCTCAGTCCCATTACTGCCATAGAATCCCAAGCTCAGTTCCATTACTGCCACAGAATCCCAAGCTCAGTCCCATTACTGCCACAGAATCCCAAGCTCAGTCCATTACTGCCACAAGAATCCAAGCTCAGTCCCATTACTGCCACAGAATCCAAGCTCAGTCCACTGCTCCCAAGCTCAGTCCATTACTGCCACAGAATCCCAAGCTCAGTCCAGCCACAGAATCCCAAGCTCAGTCCATTACTGCCACAGAATCCAAGCTCAGTCCCACTGCCACAGAATCCCAAGCTCAGTCCCATCACTGCCATGAATCAAGCTCCCATCACTGCCACAGAATCCCAAGCTCAGTCCCATCACTGCCACAGAATCCCAAGCTCAGTTCCATTACTGCCATAGAATCCCAAGCTCAGTCCCATTACTGCCACAGAATCCCAAGCTCAGTCCCATTACTGCCACAGAATCCCAGCTCCCCATCACTGCTCCCAAGCTCAGTCCCATTACTGCCAACAGAATCCCAAGCTCATTCCATTACTGCCATAGAATCTTCAACTCAGTCCCATTAACTGCACAGAATCCAAAAGCTCAGTTCCATTACTGCCATAGAATCCCAAGCTCAGTCACATGACTTGCCAACAGATCAGCTGTCCTTAAGCTCAGTCCACTGCCAAGAATCCCAAGCTCATTCCCATCACTGCTCCCAAGTCCTCATCCCATAGCTCAGTCCCATCCAGAAATCAAGCTCCCATTACTGCCATAGAATCCAAGCTCAAGTCCATTAACTTGCCACCAGGAATCCCAAGCTTCAGTTCAATCACTGCCACAGAATCCAAGCTCAGTCCCATCACTGCCACAGAATCCCAAGCTCAGTCCCATTACTGCCACAGAATCCCAAGCTCAGTCCCATCACTGCCACAGAATCCCAAGCTCAGTCCCATTAAGCTCAGTCCTGTAGAAATCCAAGCTCAGTCCATTACACTGCCAGCTCAGTCCAATCCCCAAGCTCAGTCCCATCACTGCACCATAGAATCCCAAGCCAGCTCCATTCTGCATCGAAATCCCCTAGCCCAGTCCCATCACTGCCACAGAATCCCAAGCTCAGTCCCATTACTGCCACAGAATCCCAAGCTCAGTCCCATTACTGCCACAGAATCCCAAGCTCAGTCCCATCACTGCCACAGAATCCCAAGCTCAGTCCCATTACTGCCACAGAATCCCAAGCTCAGTCCCATCACTGCCACCCAAGCTCAGAATTACCCAAGCTCAGTCCCATTACTGCCACACAGAATCCCAAGCTCAGTCCATTACTGCCACAGAATCCCCCAGCTCAAGGCTCAGTCCCATCACTGCCACAGAATCCCAAGCTCAGTCCCATTACTGCCACAGAATCCCAGCTCAGTCCCATACTGCCATAAGAATCCAAGCCTCCCCATTACTGCCACAAATCCCAAGCTCAGTCCCATTACTGCCCAGAAATCCCAAGACTCAA